AATCCCGGCTTATCCTCAGCATTCTCGGCTTATCCTCATCAATCTCGGCTTATCCTCATCAATCCCGGCTTATCCTTAGCATTCTCGGCTTATCCTCATCAATCTCGGCTCATCCTAGTCAATCTCGGCTTATCTTCATCACTTTCGGCTTATTCTCAGCAATCTCGGCTTATCCTTCATCAATCTCGGCTCATCCTCATCAATCCCGGCTTATCCTCAGCATTCTCGGCTTATCCTCAATTACCTCGGCTTATCCTCAGCGATCTCGGCTCATCCTGAACCTCGACTTACGCTCATCAATCCCGTCTCATTCCCAGCAACCTCGGCTTATACTCCGCAACCTCTGCTTATCCTCATCAATCTCAGCTGATCCTCAGCAACCTCGGCTTATTCGCAGTAACCTTGGCTTAGCCTCATCAATCCCGGCTTATCCTCAGCATTCTCGGCTTATCCTCAGCATTCTCGGCTTATCCTCAATTACCTCGGCTTATCCTCAGCGATCTCGGCTCATCCTGAACCTCGACTTACGCTCATCAATCCCGTCTCATTCCCAGCAACCTCGGCTTATACTCCGCAACCTCTGCTTATCCTCATCAATCTCAGCTGATCCTCAGCAACCTCGGCTTATTCGCAGTAACCTTGGCTTAGCCTCATCAATCCCGGCTTATCCTCAGCATTCTCGGCTTATCCTCAGCAATCCCGGCTTATCCTCATCAATCTCGGGTCATCCTAAATAATGTCGGCTTATCTTCATCACTTTCGGCTTATTCTCATCAATCTCGGCGTATCCTCATCAATCTCGGATTATCTTCCGCAGCCTTGGCTTATCCTCAGCAATCTCGGCTTAACCCCAGTAGCCTCGGCTTATTTTCATCAATCTCGGCGCATCTGCAGTAACGTCGGCTCATCCCCAGTAACCTCGGCTTATCCTCAGCAATCTCGGCTCATCCTCAGTAACCTCGGCATATCCTCAGCAATCTCGGCTCGTCCTTAACCTTGGCTCCCGCTCATCAAATGTCTCATCCGCAGTAACCTCGGCTTATCCTCAGCAACCTCGGCTTCTCCCCAGCAATCTTGGCTTTTCCTCGTCTTATCTTCAGCAATTTCGGTTCATCCTCAGCAATCCCGGTTTATCCTCGGCAATTTTGGCTCATCGCCAAAAACTTCGGCTTGTCCTCAGCAACATCGGCTTTTCCTCGGGTTATCCCCAGCAATATGGGCTTTTCCTCGGCTCATCCTCATCAACCTCGGCTTATCCCCAGCGATTTGGGCTCATCCTCAGCCATATCGGCTTTTCCTCGGCTTATCCTCATCAACCTCGGCTTACCCTCCGCAACCTCAGCTTATCCTCATCAACCTTGGCTTACCCTCAGCAACCTCGGCTCATCCTCATCAACCTCGGCTCATCCGCAGTAAGTTCGACTTTTCCTCATCTCGGCTTATCCTCAGCAATCTCGGCTTATCCTCATCAATCTCGGCTCATCCTCAGTATCCTCGGCTTATCCTCATGAACCTCGGCTCATCCTCAGCAATATGGGCTTTTCCTCGGCTTATCCTTATCCTCACACTCGGCTCATCCTCAGTAACCTCGGCTTATCCTCATGAACCTCGGCTCATTCTCAGCAATATGGGCTTTTCCTCGGCTTATCCTCATCAATCTCAGCTGATCCTCAGTAACCTCGGCTTATCCTTATCAATCTCAGCTGATCCTCAGCAACCTCGGCTTATCCTCAGCAATCTCGGCTCATCCTGAACCTCGACTTACGCTCATCAATCCCGTCTCATTCCCAGCAACCTCGGCTTATACTCCGCAACCCCTGCTTATCCTCAGCAACCTCGGCTTATTCGCAGTAACCTTGGCTTATCCTCATCAATATCGGCTTATCCTCATCAACGTCGGCTCTATCCTCATCAATCTTGGTATATCTTCAGCAACCTCGGCTCGTCTCGGCTTATCCGCAAGCTCGGGTTATCCCCAGCAATCTCGGCTCATCCTTAGTAACCTCGGCTTATCCTCAGCAATCTCGGCTTTTGCTCATCAATCACGGCTCATCCTCATCAATGTCGGCTTATCCTCGGCGACCTCGGCTCATCCTCATCAATCTCGGTTTATCCTCATCACGCTCGGCTTATCCTCATCAAGCTCAGCTTACGGTCGTCAATCTCGGCGTATCCTCCGCAACCTCGGCTTATCCTCATCAATCTTGGCTCAACCCCTGAAACCTTGGCTTGTCCTCATCAATCTCGGCCCATCCGCAGTAACCTTGGCTGTGCCTCATAAATCTGGCTCTTTCCTCATCAACCTCGGCCCTATCCTCATCAACCTTGGGTTATCTTCGGCAACCTCGGCTCTCGGTTCATCCTCATCAATCTCGGCCCATCCTCAATAACCTCGACTCATCCTCGGTAACCTCGGCTTATCCTCATCATGCTCGGCTTAACCCCAGCAACCTCGGCTTATCCTTATCAATCTCGGCGCATCCGCAGCAACCTCCGCGCATCCTCATAAAATTTGGCTCATCGTCAATATCGGCTCTATCCTCATCAATCTCGGCTTATCTTCGGCAACCTCGGCTCATCCATATCAATCTCGGCTCATCCTCAGCAACCTTGGCTAATCCTCATCAATCTCAGCTCATCCTCAGCAATTTCGGCTTTTCCTCGGGATATCCTCATCAACCTCGACTTATCCTCATCAATCTCAGCTCATCCTGAGCAAACCTCGGCTTATTCTCATCAATATCGGCTCATCCGCAGTAACCTCGGCTTATCCTCATCAAGCTCGGCTTGTCCTCACCAGTCTCGGCCCATCCTCATCAATCTTGGCTCTTCCGTGGCATGTCCTCATCAACCTCGACTTGTCCTCATCAAGCTCGGTTTATCCTCGGCAACCGTCGTATTCCCTCGCAACCTCTGCGTATTGTCAGCAATCTCGGCTTATCCTCATCGACCTCGGCTTGTGCGCATCAATCTCGGCATGTGTCCAACAACCTTGGGTTATCCTTGGCAATCTCGGCTCATCCTCAGTAGCTTTGGCTTATCCTCATCAGTCTCGTCTCATCCGCAGTACCTTCGGCTTATCCTCATCGACCTCTGCTTGCCCTCTGCTTATCCTCGGTATCATCGGCTTATCCTTGTTCTCGGCATATCCTTGTCCTCGGCATATCCTCATCGATCTCGGCTCATCCTCATCAATTCGCTAATCCTCGGATTATATTCAGCAACTTATCCTCAGCAACCTTGGCTGATCCTCAGCAACCTGGGCTTATCCTCATCAACCTCGGCGTATCCTCGTCAATCTCGGCTTGCCCGCATCAGCCTCGGCTTTTTCTTGTCCTCGGCTTATCCTCGGTATCCTTTGCTTATCCTTTTCCTCGGCTCATCCTCATCAACCTCGGCTTACCGTCAGCAACGTCGGCGTATCGTCGGGCATCCTGGCTCATCCTCAGTAACCCCGGCTTGTCATCAATCTGGGCTTGTTTTCAGAAATTTCGGCTTATCCTCGGCTCACCCTCAGCAACCTCGGCTTATCTTCTGCTTATCCGCGGCTTAATTGCTTATCTTTGTCCTCGGCCTATCGTCATCAATCTCGGGGTATCCTCAGCAACCTCGGGTTATACTTTCTCTCGGCTTATCCTCATCAACCTCGACTTCTCCTCAGCAATCTCGGCTTAGTCTTGGCTTATCTTCAGCAACCTCGGCTTATCCTTGGCTTATCTTCAGCGACCTCGGCTTTCCCTTATTCATCCCGGCTTATCCTCAGCAATCTCGAGTTATCCTCGGCATCCTCATGTTGTCCTTTTTCTAGGCTTGTCCTCATCAGCCTCGGGTTATCCTCAGCAACTTCAGCGTATCCTCAGCAATCTCGAGTTATCCTCGGTGTCCTTTTCTAGGCTTGTCCTCATCAGCCTCGGGTTATCCTCAGCAACTTCGGCGTATCCTCAGCAATCTGGGCTCATGCTCAGTAACCCCGGCTTATCCTCGGCAACCTCGGCTTATCCTCAGTAACCTCGTCGCATCCTCAGCAATCTCGGTTCATCCTCAGTAACCTCGGCTTATCCTCATCAACTTCCGCTCATCCTCAGCAACCTCGGCTGATTCTTGAGCAATGCGGGAGTTAAAATAATATATTAACAGGACCGGTGCATGTTTCTTGTTTCCTTAGCAAGGGCGGCCATGCAAGGAAAAATGGAGATGGTCGAACAAAGGCGATTATTTCGGAGGGTCCATGACTAGGCGGAAATTGCAGAACGGTCCCTACATCGCGTTGGTTGGAGGAGCCCGATATAGGGTGCCTGTGCTCCCGTCCTGGGGATGAAGGAAAAAATGTCGCGCTTCGCGGTCGGCGGCTCATTATATTTGAAATTCAATACCCCATATTAACTGTGTTGGTGATGGATGATGCCCGGTTAATTTACATATGCCCCGCCCAAAACCGATAGCTAATAAGTTCGACGTTAAGCGTTCAAAAATTATTTATGCACCAAAACTAAAAATCTAAAGAATCGGCTGATTTTACATTACCCCCCCCAATCTCATTTGTTGCAGATGGATGATGATGACGAGGAAGGGCCGAAGCAGGGCATGTTCTGCCTCCAGCGTTCCCCCGAGGAGATTTTCGGTGACGACGATGCGGCTTCCAAGCTCTACCCGGTCACGGAGCTGGACCCGCACAAGGTGCTTACAATATAGGACGGTATGGTACAAATATTGATTGCCCTGGTACCGAAGATGGGTGCATTCCCAGATGGATCTGCAAGGGGCGCATGAGGTCTGGGACTGCCCGGTACCAGACTTGTACAAAATGGGATGGCCCGTGAAAAGCGCATGTATGATATGGGATGCACGGCACGGAAGAGGTTTACAATACGGGGTGGACCCCTAGAATGTGTGGAAAATATGGAATGGATCTGCAAAAGACGGGTGAAATATGGGATGGAACGGTACAGTCATGTGTGCAAGACGGTCCGCAAAAATCGGGGTCAATGTTGACTGTCTTGTTTTTGTTTTTGTTTTCAGCAGGATGGTGGATGCTGTTGCAACTGATGACTCGCGTGATCTCTCTTGTTGTCGTTTTGCAGCCGTCGTTGTTCGTGCTGGTGTTAATGTTGAGAAGGAAAGCACCTGCACTGGTCCAACTGACATGCGGATGCCATCCATTATTGTTTGGTTGCTCTTGTGGTTTCTGCCCCCATTTGTTTCTGGCCTCTCGCAAAAGTCCTTGATGAAAGGCGACGCCTCCCGTAGTCACCGTGTTAGCTGTTGTTGGTTTTGTATCGCACGTATTCCCTGCTTTACTTTGCTGTTCTAGCTCTCTCTCAAAGTCCTTTATGACAGGCGACGCCTCCCTTGGGTCACCGTGTTGGCTAGTGTTCGTTTGGTTGTTTCGCTCCTGCTAAGCTGTTTTCGCTCTCTGCAAAGTATTTATTAGTGAAGGGAGACGGCTGGGGCGTGTTTACTACGATCGTTGATTTGTGCTTTTTCGCTCCTGTTCTGCTGTTCTTCCTTTCTCCAAAGTCCTTGATGAAGTCTGACGACTGGGCCAAGGCTCTCTCGACGATGCGCAAGCAGCTGCCGTCGCGGCTAAACGTTGTGATGGTCGGGACAGAGCGGCCGCTGCCCAAGAGGCTGACCATCAGGACTGGCAAGGCGGAAAGCACGAAAGTCAGCGTGCAGATCTTGGATGGCAACAAGAAGGTGTGTGTTTTTTATTAGACGTCAGTCTTAGTGCGGTTGAAAACACAGAACACTCCTATCTACCGAAGGTGTGTGTGTGTGTGTGTTTTATTATTATTATGAGCATCGACCGCGCTAACCGGCTGACCAATGAAAAGACGTCAGTCTCAGTGCGGTTGAAAACACAAAACACTTTTATCTGCCATGAACTGGGACCCCGTGAGGGGGCGTTTGTGTGCGTGCGTGTGCATGTGTTTGTGTTTCTCGTAGCACTTGTAACTGCGCTAATAGTGCGTGTGTTTTTTTTGTTAGCATTGCCCGCACGGCTGACCGATGAATAGACGTCAGTCCCAGTGCGATGTTGTGGTTTGTCGTTATTTCTGGCACCGACCGCGCTACCCGGCTGACCAATGAGTTGACGCGAGTCTCAGTGCGGCTGAAAACAGAATGGTTCTGGAGGCCGTGTTGTGTGTGCGTGCGATAGCACTGACCGTCCTTACCGGCTGACCAATGAAAAGGCGCCAGTCTCGGTGCGGCTACAGACGGGAAACGCACCTGTAAGGCCATGACCTGGTGTGTGGTATCAGCGGAGTCGTCAGCGTTGTAATATGTAGGGATAACATTGAGAAATCGGCGGTGCTCCTCCATGCGCCGCAGCGGAGTCGTCAGCGTTCTAACATTTAGGGATGACATGGAGAAATCGGTGGTGCTCCTCGATGTGCCGCTGTTTGGCGCCCCGCAGGATTGCGTAAGATACCACACCCCCCCCCCGGACCCATTCTCCGAGCCCGATTGTTCTGCATCGGACACGGCGACGGTGGTACCAAACATGGCGGCGTTGGAACCGCATCGTCGAGAGCCTCCCGATCACGAACGTTTCGCCCAGTACCCCACACCCATCGCGCTCGGTCCTCTCTGATTTCCCCTCCGGCACGGCCGCACACTGCTTGTCTTGACGCGTGGTATGTGAGCAGCCCATGGTGCAGATCCCCCAAGGCAAGGCTCTGCGCGCGATAGAGGTTCTTGAGCGCTTGGGTGAAGACAGAGAACCAGAGGTGCGTGCGGGGAGGAGGAGGAGGTGGCTTCGATATTTGTGTGTGTGTGTGTGTGTTGCCGTCCCATTATATCTGGTTCGCAATGACGACGTTCTTGGTGACAGGTCTTGTAGCGGTACAGCGGTACCGCCGCACTTGAAGAACCTTCTTCCGCTGTGAGCCATGAACAGGTGCATTACGTTAGTTGACAAGATGCCCACATTCTGTTAGCATGGATGGGGTGATGTTCAAGTTCTCGCTTCGAACTTCGATCCATTGTATCTGACTGACGCCAGTCTGTCCACGTATCGGCATGTTTGACGAATCGAATCACCCGGGGCAGGAGGAAGATCAGAGTTATTGTTGTTAGGCTTTGATGCACGGGTAAAATGATCGGGATGGTATGGGGTGTGCTGTGCGAGCTATCGCCGTGCACATGGGTACTGTTGGGGGTTGGTGGCAGTGCGAAGGCCACTAAGTACACGTCAAAAATATCAAAATCGAACCATCGACATCATAATCGGCTCCGTTGACTGGCAAAAACACGGAGGTCCTCTTTTTAGTTGCAATGCCCTCCGCGCGATACCCATGATGTGGTACAAGTATTCATGTTCCTACTGATACAATCGCACATACAACCAGCAGAGATCTGGAGGTAGAGGATAACAAAAAAGACTATGCTGCCCGCAGCCCTGCCTGATTTCGACCTTATCGAAGTTTTGGGGGGAGGTGTCCTTGTGTGAATTCCTGGAGCCCCCTTGAAGCGGGACCACGAGAGCTCGCGGACCCGAATTATGGACGTACTGCAACAAACTGGATAAAGGACCAAGTCCGGGGAGGGGGGGTGTACTCATAGTCGTGCATGCCGTAGTCGTTAGACCATTGACCTCGCATCCCTACAAAGCCGGGACGGAG